GGATTGGTAGAATCAACATAGTAAAAATGTCATACTCCCAAAAGTAATCTACATGTTTAATGCAATTCCCATCAAAATCCCAATGACATTCATCAAAGAGATTGAAAATCTACCATTAAATTTATATGGAAACACAAGAGACCACGAATATCCAAGGCAATGCTCAGCAAAAAGAACAACACTGGAGGTATCACAATACCCAACTTCAAACTATATTACAAAGCAATAGCAATAAAAACAGCATAGTACTGGCACAAAAACAGATGTGAAGACCAGTGGAACAGAATAGAGGACGTGGATATGAAGCCACACAACTATAACCAACTTGTCTTTGATAAAGGTGCTAAAAATATACAATGGAGAAAAGACAGCCTCTTCAACAAAAACTGCTGGGAAAACTGGTTAGCAGTCTGCAAAAAACTGAAACTAGATCCATGTTTATCACCATATACCAGTATTAACTAAAAATGGATCAAGGACCTTAATATCAGACCCCAAACTCTAAAGTTGGTACAGGAAAGAGTAGTAAATACTTTGGAACTAATAGGTATAGGCAAGGACTTTCTCAATGGAACCCCAGCAGCTCAGCAACTAAGAGATAGCATAGATTAATGGGTCTTCATAAAACTAAAAAGCTTCTACTCAACAAAAGAAATGGTCTCTAAACTGAAGAGACCACCCACAGAGTGGGAGAAAATATTTGCCAGCTACACATCAGACAAAGGACTGATAACCAGAATATATAGGGAACTCAAAAAACTAAACTTGCCCAAAATTAATGGACCAATAAATAAATGGGCAAGTGAACTAAACAGAACTTTCTCAAAAGAAGAAATTCAAATGGCCAAAAGACACATGAAAAAATGCTCACCATCTCTAGCAATAAAGGAAATGCAAATCAAAACCACACTAAGATTCCACCTCACCCCTGTTAGAATAGCCATTAGAAACATCAACAACAACAGGTGTTGGCAAGGATGTGGGGAAAAAGGATCCCTCTTACACACTGCTGGTGGGAATGCAAATTAGTACAACCACTCTGGAAAAAAATTTGGAGGCTTCTTAAAAATCTAAACATAGATCGGCTTTTGATCCAGCAATACCACTCACTCTTGGGGATATAGCCAAAGGAATGCGACACAGGTTACTCCAAAGGCACTTGCACACCCATGTTTATTGCAGCACTATTCACAATAGCCAAGTTATGGAAACAGATAAGATGCCCCACTATCGATGAATGGATTAAGAAAATGTGGTATTTATACACAATGGAATACTACTCAGCCATGAAGAAGAATGAAATCTTATCATTTGCAGGTAAATGGATAGAACTGGAGAACATCATCCTGAATGAGGTTAGCCAGGCCCAGAAGACCAAAAATCGTATGTTCTCCCTCATATGCGGACTTTAGGCCAAGGGCAAACACAACAAGGGGATTGGACTTTGATCACATGATAAGGCAAGAGCACACAAGGGAGGTGTGAGGATAGCCAAAAAACCCAAAAAAAAACAAGATAGCATTTGATGTCCTCAATGCAAAGGAACTAATGCAGAAACTTTAAAGTGACAGAGGCCAATAGGAGAAGGGGACCAGGAACTAGAGAAAAGATGAGATCAAAAAGAATTAACCTAGAAGGTAACACCCACGCACAGGAAATTAATGTGAGTCAACTCCCTTGTATAGCTATCCTTATCTCAACCAGCAAAAACCCTTGTTCCTTCCTATTATTGCTTATACTCTCTCTTCAACAAGATTAGAGATAAGGCCAAAATAGTTTCTGCCAGGTATTAAGGGGGTGGGGGGGAGAGGGAGGGGGCAGAGTGGGTGGTAAGGGAGGGGGTGGGGGCAGGGGGGAGAAATGACCCAAGCATTATATGCACATATGAATAAAAGAAATTTTTAAAAAAGAAGAGGAAAAAAAGAAAAAAAAAGCTTGCAACTAATGAAATAAACATGGAACACTAATGAAATATCACCATTGCTTAACTATTTAATTCATCTCAAACAGTAAGAAAAGACACTGGTAGAGACAGAAGTACTGATAAAAAGGAAGATTTAAGATGATCACAGTGCAGATATAAAAGAAGAATCAAATAATTACAATAGAGAACAAAATAAAATTCAACAGGAATGAAATCAGTCTCAGAGCAGAGCACTCAATAATTTGACAAAAAAAAAAAATTATGGTTATAAACAAGGAAAGTGTCCATAAGTGAATAACTGAATGAAGACATACTGCAATTCAGGGAACAGGGTTATAATGTGGTTAAAATGTATCTAGTTTATATTATTGAGCTTCAAAAATAAACAATTTTCAGGCATTTTGAATGAAAAAGCAAATCACCTGAAGGAGGAGAGGGATTAGACTTCTATAGTGATAGTGAATATCATAATATAATAAAACAGCAACAACAAAGTTCTAATGAAAATGTCCCAAAGGGTACTAACTGCCAGGTGATTTTTCAGGAATGGCAGACATTCTCAAACATTAAAGCACTGAAACTAAAGAGACTACAGTATTCACAAATTCTTCCTGCTAAAACAATGGACAAAAAATTTCAAAAACTACTAGGAGATTTGGATCAACATTTGGAAAATTCTGAGTGAAAAAAATTGTGATCCAGAAATTATATGCCTAACCAAGTAATTCTTTAACTATAAAAAGAAAAGACAAGTATTTTCAAACACAAGATTACCTGACGTGAAATTCCGTTCAAACGGGTGATTTTTGTTTCATTTTGTTTTTCCGATTTTTTGCAATGGTGGGGATAGAACCCAAGGCCTTGTGTGTGCTAAGCAAGTGCTCTACCACTGAGCTACACCCCGAACCCTGGACATGGGTTAACCCAGAAATGGAGAAGACCCAGTTACTGGTGATGAGCATTAAGCCATTTAAACAACAAAAATTATGCAGGATGCCAATGGTAAAACCTTGACAACAAAAAGAATACAGTCAAAACTAGGAGAAGGGATAAAATGTGAAAGCAGAATTCCCTCATCTTTTATGCCAAGGAATCTATAGATATAAATCTGAAAATTGAAACATGTAGTTTTTAAATATCCACTTTATGCTTTTTGTAATATGTTTTCTCTTTAATTCATATCTCTTACAGTGAAGAAGCACTTTTTAGTTTCTCTGACTTCTATTAGATTCAAGTAAAACTACGTTGATAATTATTAAAAGTGGGACAGAGAATATGATTCCATTATATAGAATTATTTCTATACATTTGGACGGCTTTCAGAAGTGCATAAATCAGGGCTTCCCAAACTAATGCCAGTGTAAAATCACCTGGTGGGCTTACAAAGTTGGATGGCTGGGTCCTACCCATTGAGATGCTGATCGAGAGTCAGCCTGGATCAGGGGCTCAATAATGTGCATTTTTAACATGCACCCAGCTGTGGCTGATGCCGCCATTCAACATGCCACATCCAGCCAGCACTGGAACAGACAACTCTGGAATGAAATACCCACCTACATTTCATAGGAAAAGTATAGGATGATTTTTGTTTTTTTCAGCTTTTTTCTTTATATTTTTAAGGTACTGTTTAAATATTTTTTAAAATAATGAACATTTTACCTTAACTCAATCAATAAAATCATTATTCTGAAGAAATATAGAAGCAAGAAAAATTAACCAGTTTTTATATCTAAAATTATACAAAGGCTTTCTCTAAGATCTTAACTTTTTTCTTTCTCCGAAATGCCAACTCAAGTTTCATTAAACTTAAATCCTCCTGAAGAAAAGTAAGAGTTTTTTCCTAAAAAAAAAAAAAAAAAGCACAATTGGCTACTATGAAAGAAACTGTTATTTGCTATTACAAAAAGAGACATACACTGTGTTTTTCTGTCTTATCATATTCAAGTTAATTTACTATTTAATACCAATGTATTAGTCTAAGTCTAACACAAACTGGACCCATCAAAAATATATAAAAAGCCCATGCCTACTATCAGGATGAAAATATCCCCAATTCAATACTACCTTGAAAACACAGATGTGATGTTATAAAATACTCTTAAGTACAATAGTCACTGATTATATTTGAATCCCCTGCATACTTCAATATTTCTCTTGGGACACTATGACCCTTAGACCAACTTACCTTAACTCAAGTACTTAAGTACATAGACCAGATGAAAAAAGAAGTAACAGTATGTGTCAGACTCATACAACAAATACTAAATGTTATACAAACTAAGAATAAAGATTTTACCTAAAAGTTGTTTGACAAAATAAGCAGACCTTACTAGATAAAGTTAGAATTTGGTAAGATGATAACAGAAACTCATTGCTAGAAACAGTTTAACTTCATGTAGGTTTCAATAGGGAAATTTAGATGTAATTCTGTTCACAACTAAAAAATTTTATGGATAATCATTAATTCCACACTTGGAAAAAGGCTCAATATACTTGATTTAGTTGTGTACTTTTGATGCCTTATCACAGTATTTACAAATAAAATTATTTCAATTTTAGTAATAGAAAAATAAAATACTAACAATTAATTTACAGGGACTATGTATTGCTGGGACTACAATTCAAAAGCCTTGTGTATCTCTAAGAAACTTGGGTCAAAGTAAACAGAGAGGCTGGGAGTGTAACTCAGTGGTAGGGACAGTGCTTAGCAGGCACAAGCCTGGGGTTCCGTCCTCAGCACAAACAGAAAGAAAGAAAAAAGTAAATAGAAACAAGGTCTTTATTATAGTATAACCAATCAAATATACATTTAGAAGCAGAATATCTCCATTTTTCCTAAATTTCCCCTCTTTGCAACTTTAAATCAATCAATAAAACTTTAAATTTCATTAACAGCTTAAAAGTACCAGAAGTACTCTGATCATTCATCTATGATGCAATCTAGAATTTTTCCTTTTTAACGAAAAAAGAATTTAAATTCAAACAAAAGCTTTAATAGTCATTTTAAATATTTCTAATACATGTACTTAAAATGTCAAAGAACTATATTCTGGTTATTAATTATATCATTTCTTACCAGGATCCGCTAACCCAGTGGTCTCTAACAATATGTAATCAAATTTCCCCTTCTTCTGCATCAAATTCTCAATAGCTCTAAGGCCGTTGTCCCTGGAGAATACCAACACATATATTTGATTAGTAGAACATTTTTAAATGATTATTACAAATATCGTAAAATATACTCAATGGTACAACACAAAAATATCCTTAGGCATATAAGAATTTAACTCCTTTGTAAACTTCTAATAAAATGTACATTCACTTGGGGCATGATGGTACATGTTTGTAATTCCAGTACTCAGGAGGCTGAAGCAGGACGAACATGACTTTCAGAGCAACCTGGGCTACAAAGTAAGACCCTGTCTCTAGAAATAAAAAATAAAAATCTAACCATTATTTACCAATGAAGGAATAAAATAGACGCATATACACACAGGTAAAAAGAAATGATATGTGTAATGAGTTGATACTTTAACTTGTTAAAATAAAAGTAAAGGGGACTTTATGTGACTTTAAAGTAAGTGTTTGTTATTTTTACAGTTTTATTTATTTATTTTGCAGTACTGTGGTTTGAACTCAGGGCCTTCATCTTGAGTCACTCCATCAGCGCCCCCCCCTTTTTTTTGTGTTTCGGTTTTTAAATTAAGATATATTCATTGTATAGGGGGATTCATTGTGACAATTCCAAATAGGCTTAATATTGGTTAGATCATCCCCACCATCTCTCTCCCTAGTCCCCTCTTCATCCCATTTAAAGTAATTGCAAGAGGTTTCTTTGTTCTATTTCATATAAGTAAATGAAGGTCATCCACCATATACGATCACCTTAATCTCCTTCATTCACCATTCCCCCTCACACAAGTACCCCCACACATACATGCTGTACCTATTTTATTGTCCTGTCTTTCATTTTTAATATTTAAATCGATGTTCCAAGCAGTTTCTCAGTGTGTCCCCACAACGAGTCTACTTTACTTTGGACCATTCAACCCCCTTCCATTTCTCTCCCTTAGCCTTTTACTTCCCACCCCTCACTTTTCAGTATCTTTTAATACATATCCTTATATCCTCTACCTTTCGAGATGTTAACATTTTACAGTATTGTTGATGCTCTTATCATTCTTATTCTTTCTTTGCTTTCCCAAGTTCCATAGAGTATTTCCACTATTACAAACATGTTCTACATATGAGTTTGTATATGATCATGCTTATTTTGTGTATACACTTATCTTTTGAATCTATCTTCCATGTATGAGAAAAAATACATGGCCTTTGTCTTTGTGAGCCTGGCTTACTTCACTTAACATGATGTCCTCCAATTGCATCCATTTACCTTCAAACCACATGTCATTGTTCCTTATGGTTGAATAATACTCCATTGTGTATATATACCACACTTTCTTGATCCATTTACTAGTTTTAGGGCATCTGGGTTGCTTCCATAGCTTGGCTATTGTGAGCAGTGCTGTGATGAACAATGATGTACGGGTGTCTCTATTGTATCCTGAGCTATGTTCCTTTGGATATATGCCCAGGAATGGTATCACTGGATCATATGGCAGCTCTATCTTTCAATTTTTGAGGAATCTCCATACTGCTTTCCATAATGGTTGTACTTATTTGCATTCTCATCAACAGTGTATAAGCACCATCCCTTTTTTGTGATTGGTTTTTTCAAAATAGGGTCTTGCAAACTATTTGCCCAGTCTGGCTTTGAACCAGAATCCTCCTGATCTTCTGCCTCCTAAGTAGCTAGGATTACAGGTGTGAGCCACTAGCTTTTTACAGTTTTATGAAAGAAAAAAAATCAATGTGTAAAATACTGATAAAATTTATGACCTACAGTAGTTTAATATAACACCTAACAGGACACTGTCATTTCATACACTTTAATTCTATTGTAAATAGGGGACAAGTCTTATTTCCTTTTCTTCTTATAATGCCAAAAATGAGGAAAATACCAATGTATTATATTTTGCTTATTTAAAATTACTGTTATGTCTCAGGTATTCTTCTAGGATTCATAGAAGCTTAGTGAACAAAACAGACAATATCCTTGGAAGCTGAACTGGTGGAATATAACATAAAGGTCTTCTCTTTTTTGACAGTCATCTACTTTTGCTTTGATAGAGGCTGAATACCTGGAAATAAGACTAACATTAAATTCAGAAAATCATTTTTTATATAAGAAATGAGACATTCATATACCAGAGATTATTAAATAAATAAACCTGGGCATTAAAAATAATTTTAAAAATTCAATGAAAAGACAAAAGCATTAGAATAGAAAGAAAAACAGCAAAAAATACTTTAAGAAAATACACTCTAACAAATTTGCTCTTTATTTGAAATATAATGAAGCAAACAATATAAATTTGGTTAAATTACACAGGAAAATCAAGGCTGAAAACATAATTGATAAACATTTCTAGAAAACCAACAAGTACATAGTAACCACATTCCTTACTTCACTGAACAGCAGAGACAACCATTTCCAAGTTCCAGCCACTCTTCATAGAGCTCTCCACCTTGGCTGACAGCTAAGGATTTCTCTACTGCACTCCCTAGAAAAATTAACAGGCACGCTTTAGACTCTGTTTACCAGCCATCCAAAAACAAAGATGAAGATATTCACAATGAGCAGGTGTCAAAGCAGAAACTACATTTATCATTTTTATTATTTCATGCTACTCATATAGCTTACATATTTAAAGTACTCTAGGCTATTTTAGCTTTTCTTTCTTTAAGATTTAAGTCCCTAAAAGGGCAAATCCAAAATTAATGGATATACATTCTTCCTTCTTTGGACCACTTCCATTTCTTAATAAAGAAGCTATCTTAAAAGCACTTTTTCTTGTCCATGGTAAACTTCCTAGAGAGATTGGTCTGTTTTACATATTGCTGTTTATAAGCTCTTTGACCTCTTTTGAGATTGTACTATCTATTTTTTCTCTTTTGTCTTCCTCTAAATTGTTTCTACTGTACAGATTGCTCAGTATTCCCAATATGAGTAAAAACCCGAATTTGTTTTAAGGGAAGGTTTTTGGCCACAGTATTACAAGCTCCTTTAAAAATTAAATTTTTATTTAAATACACAGAAGTTCCCTAGAAATACTTACCTGGGAAAGAATTAGATACACACAAGATGCTTGCTACAAGAATGATTTCAAATGTTTTACTTTACCTGCAATATACCAAACCCAGAGGAAAGTTTTAAATGGGAAAAAAAATTAAAAAGCCTTTCATATTATATATTTAATTCATATTCCACGTAGGCAATGATAAGAGCTTTTAAGGTTTTGTTACAGAATTTGGGCTCTATAGAATGTTAGTAAAACATTTGGGTCACATAATGAGACCCTGCCTCACTATAAAGTGAAAGAACTTTCCTTTTATCTTTATAATGGGCATCCCATACTACTCATAAACCTAGCTCCTTTACATATTTACAACTGAAAAAAACTGTACACTTCAAACAGTATTATCACAGAAATTATATTTTTTTGACTTCAAGTGAGATTTTATTAAAAGTCCAAACTTGTGAAGAAAAAACTGTAAAAATTATCAAAATATTATATCTAACACTATTTATAGATTTTTTTCCAGTTTAATATTAAAGACAAAAAGTTGAAAAGTTAAGCATATTAGATGCTTGAGGATGGAGATCATATGTTTAACTTATTTTTAAAACCTTTAGTTTTAACTCTTTACAGATAATCAATGTTCTACAAGATGAACTCACAATTGAAGCATTTTCAAATATTCTCCATGAATTGCAACATACAATACAATCAGTACAAAAGTATCTTTCTAGTTTCTTTAAAAACTTTCAAGTGTTTAGATTTTTACTTTTGGAGTCATTTATTTCATGTACAAATCTAATTTAATTCTGTTAGTATGAATTCCAAGGTTATGAAAAATAAATTTTATATAAACTACCTGATTTCAGTATCCCAAATCCATACAAAATAAAGTTTGATAAAAATTAGTCTTATTCTTTCAAAGCCATCTACATCAGAGTGCTCATATTACAATACCTCCCCCATTCTCATTTTTAAAAACAGAGTATCAATTCAATATTGAGTAAGTTCTTGCAGCATGACATTTATTGAATTTTACTTACCTTCTCCAAATTCATTTAAAATAACTGCTATTCTTTTACTATGTTGTTCTGTCAAAATGTAGTTTAGAAGAGTTGTCTTTCCAGCACCTATGAAACATATTAGAGTAACAAGATTCAAAAGCTAATTTTAAAGGCACCACAAGGATATCAAAAGTCCTGATTTTTTAAAGAATTTATGTGGCATTTTCATACATTACTTAATCATAGAAGACTTTAAGGAAAATGTTAAGGCAATCTTTGAGATTACTATAACATGCTTTATATATACTTTATATATTTTATAAATATTTACAAATTACCTTATAAATTGAATCAGGTTTTTTAACTTAATATGACTAACATGTCTTCTTCATAACTTAAATACAATAACATAAGGACACCTAAAACTTCTATTAAATTAGGAATTAATGAAGTAATGGCTTCTAAGAAATAAAGCATGCAATTTAAAACTACAAAATACTATGACCCTTTACATAATGACAATGTTTTTGAATCAAGAATATTTGGTTTACTTCCCTAATTTTTATACATAATGAGCTTTTATTTCACCATTCACTAACCAGATACAAATTCAGACTGACTATACGGCTACCTTTAGTGTGTTTAAAACAGTCTATAAATTGACTCTATGAAATGGGGATCAGAGATAAGAAGTGTTAAGAACAGACTATTCAGAACTTAAAGATATTCCATAAAGCTACACTAACTTTATCCAGTAGGTGGCATATTAAACCTAGTATGCTCCTTTCAAATGAAAGAAAAACACTTTTCTCATAAACCAAACATACCAAAAGTCATAAAGGAAGAAAAGGAAACCTTACATGGAAGTATAGTTAAACTATATGAAAACATCATTTATTTTTCTGTTTTCCTGTTGGTGGATTGTTTTCAGTGTTTTACTATTACAAGCAATAGTGCTAAAAAGCTTTACACATAGCTTGTACATGTCTGCTGGAATACACTTGCAAGTTTTCTAGGATTTAACTAAGAAAGATCTAGGGAGTATCAGGATATTAATATCTTCAGTGTTTTTAGGTCATTTTTCTTTAAAAGCTTTTGAAGAAATAACAGCTTACTTTTTTTTTTTTTTTTTTTTTTTTTTGCAGTACTGGAGTTTGAACTCATGGCCTATACCTTGAGCCACTCCACCAGCCCTTTTCTGTGACAGGATTTTTCAAGATAGGATCTGGAGAACTATTTACCCAGGCTAGCTTCAAACCGTGATCCTACTGATCTCTACCTCCTGAGTAGCTAGGATTACAGGTGTGAGCCACTGGCACCCAGTGACAGTTTACTTTTAGAGTGCTGAGAAGCTCAAAATTACAAATGTGTGATGTATAGAACAGAAGTAGACAGAATACAGAAATTTTAAAACCTGTCCAAGAGTGAACATGGGTGATGCACAGTGTAGCAACTGTGAAAATTAAAAGAAAGCCAAGCATGTAAGAAATCTTCTAATAGAAGAATTACTAGGGCTTAATGATCAACCACAATATGAAAAAAAAAGACTTAAGATACAACCCACATTCATTCAAAAGTATCTAAATGGAACAGATTTATGCTGGGCCTTGCTTGATGAAAAATGGACAAGGCAAAGATTAGTCTCTGCCTCCATGGAGCTTTAAAATATTTAAGGCAGTGGAACATGGTGGGGAATTTAGACAAATAAAGAAATAATTATGCCATAGGACAATACATTCAACTGGAGATGTACAAGATGCTAGGGTGAACCTAAGAAGGACATCTAGCTGAGTAACAGCAAGAAGAAAAGTATCCCAGAGGACTAATAGTTGGCATCTTTTTTTTCAGTACCAGGGATTGAACCCAGGGCCTTCAGCTAGTATGAAGTTCCACTTGAGCTATGCCCCCCAGCCTTTCTGGTTTTGGTTTTGAGATAGGGTTTCACTAACTTTGCCTGGCCTGGCACTCAAGATCGTCCTGCCTCCACCTCCTGAGTAACTGGGATTAGAGGTGTTCACCACCACACCCCAACACTTGGCGTCATGAAGAAGTTAAATTAATTCAATGTGCTAGGCCACCATTTAGCAGGCTGGAGAGGTTGGCAACAGCCAGATCATCCAAGTCCTTGTAATTCATGTCAAGGAATTTGAACTTTTATCCAAGTGGAAGGAAGCCACTGAAGGGTCTAACACAATCAGACTAATGTAAAGATCATCAGGGGTAGCATACAAATATGTAATAGAAGTCAGTGCTAACAGTGATGCCAGTGTTTCAAAAGGAGAAAATGGTGAAACTGTTCCCTAGATTAACAAAGTTGCTGACATTAGTCTTCAATCCAAAGCTTCATACTATTATTTCCAATGCTCTACCAATCTATCTATCAGTGAGCAAATAGGAAAGGCCAAAGGGGCAAGTCTGAACTATACTGTTTTGGATGAGGAATCTGCTCACCATCTCAGGAGAGTAGTCTCTGAACAACAGTGGGGAAATACCAAAAAATCCATTCCTTTATAAGAGTTAGTCATGAGTAAAAAAATGGAAATAAACTTGCAGTCCATTAAAGGAAAGGTTAAAAAAAAAAAAGGTTGTGAGGGTGAACATCATTGATTTATTTTTATATAAAAGCCCTCAGGTGTCCCAAGTCACGATGTGCCTCTAACAGCATCTAAGAATATTATTTCCCTTTAATAGTATCACTTCACTTACATTTAACTTTTCCCCATTTTCAATAGTCATGTATTTGTTCTAGCTCTCCTTTCACTAAAAGATTTTTAAAAATCTTCCTCAAACGTTTCCAACAAAAAATAAGCGCACAGGCTGTCCTTCAGGAAACTGTTCAGTTTCAGATATCCCTGAGCACTCCCGGACGTCCTCGGTTTGACACACAGTCTTGGAGGACAAGCAAAGACTTTATTTCACTCTTTTCTTCTCCAGTGCTGTGCAAACAGACCTCAACATAGAACAAAACAAAAGTCTGCTGGAAGAGTTTGGTTCCTGGGGAAGTGGAATCTATTGAGGAATGTCCCCCATGTGTCGGGCATGGTACAGTCAGGACATTCTTTAATGGTAATATACTTTCATGGTAGGTGTTTCCTGCCTCAATTTACAGATGCGAAAACAAGCTCAGACAAGTGACTCGTACTATTTCCAATTTCGAGGACGGCAGATGACCTTCAAAAAGGTAAGATGAGTCCGGGCTTGTATAAAAGCGCGAGGCTAACTTTTAACCTCCTGGAGAAACGTAGAGATGGTCCACCCGAGGAGCGAGGGACCCAGCCACTGCCCCAAGGACATTTGCTCTGGGCCTGGAGACCCCAGTGCCTAAAGAAAGGAGACACCGGCGGCCCCCCAAATCCCAGTGTCCGTGGCATTTCCTGCCCGGGATGCTTAATTACCTAAATACCCGGTGATAATTGTGACTGGGATCTTAACGCCGGGGCCAGGCTTTTCCTCCTCCTCTCTTTGCTTCGTTTCAATGGGAACCAGTTCAGGGCAATCCTCCTCCGCATACTCCTCTTCCTTCTCTCCAGTCTCATTACCCGGTAACATCCCCGCCTGCCGCACACCTAGCACTCAGCTCAGCACTGAGGACCAAAAACACAGAGCCGCGACCCCGTAAGCCAAGCACGCCGCGCCAGGCCGGGACTGACGTCATCACACCGCGACAAGCAGCGCCTCCCGATCCCTCCCCCATTACCTGGGCTCTAGCGGAGGACTGGCCCACCCCTTAGCCACGCCCCCTGGGAGCTGGGACACGCCCCCACAGGGGCTGGACACGCCCCCACGGCGCGTGTTCTCTGAGCCTGAGCGCTGCCCTGGAGCTCTTTGGATGTATGAGCAGCCCCGCCCTGGGGCTGTCACCAGAGCTATGGCTGAGACCTGGCTGGTTTAAATTTGGAGTTAGTGGCTTGACCTAAACAGCTCCGACAGGGACAGGGCATAGACTTTATCGACTTGACAGTTTTAATCTGATTTAAAATTTTTAATTCATCAGGGAAAAATGTAAGATTATGATACTACAATGTTAATGGTAATTTTTCTACCTTAAGAATAACTTTTTATTTTTTAAATGTACACCATTTACCTTTATTTTTCTTATTTATTTGGACATCAGGTAACCTGAGCATCATATTAATCATATTTGTTGTTTCATGATGCCGTCTCATCCATGGAGAACCCATATATATATATATTTTTTTTTACCTCGTCCCTTACCCAAGTACATTAAGCATTAAGTTACACCTACTTATGTTCCCGTCCTCTATTCCAATCTACAGCATTTCCTCTAGGATACTAAATATAATCATGAATTGAATCCTGATTGCTGATCTTTTTTGGACAGGCACTTTCTATGTAGCCCAGATAGCCTGGCTCAAATCCGCCTACTTCAGCCTAGCTCTAGTACTGGGATTGCAAGCATGTGCCACCAAGCCTGACCCAGTTTTTCTTTTATAAACAGAGTGCCTATGAACATTTTTTCCTGGTGTATGTGTGCTCAACTTTCCCTTTAAGGTCTATATAAGGGTGTACTTGATGGATTTCAGGTTATGCAAATATTACACTTTATAAGAACAAGCACAACTATTTTTTAAAAATGGTTGTGTACACTCAAACAGTGTATGAGATCAAATTGATCTAAATGCTAATATTAGCAGACATTAGTTTTTTACCAGTGAACTGAGTACCAAATAATACTTGATTGTGGTCCTCATTTGTACTTCCTTGGGTACTAACATGGTTGATTATCTCTTCATGTGTTTTGAATATATTAAATTCTTACAAAAATTGTAAGTAGTAGTATTATCCCACTTTTCAACATAAGGCACAAAAAGGTTAAGTTACCTGGCCAAGTTAGGTCATACTATCTATCTGATGCAAGGGCCATGTTTTTTACAACTATTCTGACACAAATGAAGGGTTGAGTTCTTCCTTCCTTTGCTGTAATTCCTGATGTGGATATATATCTCAAAACTATTCTTTGGTGCAACTATCACACCTGTCACAGAACATAGGGGAAAGGGTTCCAGGAATGCAAATAAGCTTACCATTATACTCACACATACATTAGACCTGAGAAGTCAGGAGGTGAAATCTGTACCAGCTGTGACACTGTAATCATGAACTAGCTAAGGGAAAATGGTAGTTAAGGTCACTCCACCACAGGAGAGAGGTTGGGATGGACAGCCCAAAATAGGCATCCTGAAGTCCTCACCACAATGGCTCACAACCTTTTGACTTCTCGAATGCTGCGGAACATTGGATCTTTTAGAACAACATCACACTCACACACATTCACATGCACTATTCTCATGGCAACCCTTCTGTACTGCATTACCACCTGAACAGAAGCTATTACAGGCCTATTAGCACATCTTTCAAGGAACTTCTTACAGATGCCATACCATGGTAGTGGCTAAATGTCATACTAAAATGTTTTGTCTTTCACAGAGAAACAACCTGGACCTTCTGAGGATAGCTCAGTCAAGGTGAACAACAAGCATTGTTGCATCACTATGGAGCCTCAGTTAGAAACAAAGGAGTTTTATGCATTGGTCAAAAGTTAAATACACCCCAAATGTCAATCAGCTGATGACCAAACAAATTGCAGTATATCCAGACAATGGAAAATTATTTGGCAATAAGCAGGAACAAGGTCTTGATAACCTACTAGAAGATGAATGAGTCTTAGAAACATAGTGTTAAAATCCCAGGCCAACCTGGACTTCACAGCCAGTTTGAGGCCACCCCAGGATAAGTAGTGAGATGACTCAAAAAACCAAAAAAGAAACAGAGAGGGAGAGACATCATAACGCTAATTTAAAAAAAAGAAGTCATTCATAAAGACCGTAAACTGTACAATTCCATTGTATCTAGAATAGGCAAAGTTGTAGAGACAGGAAATAGAGTGGTTGCCAGGAGCTGGGGATTCAGGAGTGTCTGAAATGGGTTCTATGCGGGGTTTTTTTGTTTGTATGTTTGTTTTGTGCTGATGAGGTTACTGTGATGGTAGAACAACTTTGTGGATACATTAAAAACCACTGCATTGCACAATTAAACTGGTGAATTGTATCACATGTGAATTTTATTTCAATAAAAACTTCTTTTTAAGCCAGGCACCAGTGCCTCACAGCTGTAATCCTAGCTATTCAGGAGTCAGAGATCAGGAGGATTACAGTTAAAGCCAACCCAGGCAAATAGTTTCTGAGACCCTATTAGAGAAAGCCCAACACAAAGAACAGCTGGTGGAGTGGCTCAAGGCATAGTCCCTGAGTTCAAGCCCCAGTACTGCAAAAAAAAAGTAAAAAACTTCTTAGATTGCAGGCAAAACAAACAAAAAGGCAGCAGACCATAGTTTACCAACTCATGATGTAAATTAATGTAATATTTTCTTAAACCGAACTAAAGTTTCACAAAAATAGATCTTGCTTCTTATTTTAAGCTTAGTTTTAAAATTACTCATCATTGCAGTAAACCCTTGCCCTTAAAATTTTAGGTACCACATTTGTCATAGTTTTAATAATATTCAGAAGAGGCTTAAACTATCTCTCTCAGAGCACCAAGGCCTGAACTGGGAGAGACCTGAGTTAAAACACACTTGAGTCTGCTTTGTCCTAGGAACCCTGCTGGGGGGGGTGGGGAAGCAAAGCAGATAAACTCCCAAACTGGATTACAACAGCTAGCTTTGTGACAATAACCTGCCTTACATTCTTGGGCATAACATTCTCTACTCTTCCGTGCTATTCCCCATTGCTTCCTTTCTCCCTTGAATGTCAGTTGCCATGAGAAAAAGTAAGGACTGTAGCATCAGAGGAAAGCCAAAAATAACGCCAACACAATTTTGTTTTCTTCTCTCATTTTTGCAACTTCCTGCAAAGGCAAGAAGGCACTAGTGGCCAGCAATAGCTACTGGTTTAGAGAAAAGGAAACTGAGGGTTTCGAAATTAACCCTGTTCCTCTTATCTAGCTGTGGCATATAAATAAATAAAATACTTTTGGAACACTTAATGTTTATCAGTTTACTTGATAACTTTCATTGAGTGCACATGAACTTGTTAGGTGACATATCTGAAAGTCCTGAGACTAACAACTGTTATTCTTGTGACTGCTTTAGTTAAGGTAGACTATCAATACCAAGTATAGCCCTGTGTTAAGATATACAACCACATTAAGGACATGAAATAATATTTTCTGGACTGGGGGTGTGGCTCAAGTGGTAGTATGCTCGCCTAGCAAGCTCAAGGCCCTGGTTTCAATTCCCTTGTACACCTACAAAATTACATATAATGATGATATTTCCTACCTAGAATAATGAAGATGACTGGCAGATAAAATATGTACATTTCAGTGTTTGAAGGGGCTGTGACTTTCATTTCAAAGGCATTGGTAATGTTGTTTGAATCCATTATCTTGTTGGGGTTAAACCATGCTATTATATAGAAGGCTTAGCTTACAGTCCAGTTCTGATAAATCAGCTTCCTACAAGACTAAAAAAGTAAAAGGGAAATGTTATTCAAAACTTGCAGAATGACCACCTTGGGTGATGCACTGTTGTTTCTAAAATATACTACCAGGCAAGGAGCAGGGGTTGAGAAAAACCAAAAAAAAATTGTGCAATGATTTATGTTGTAATAGTTTAAGAGACAGTATAAATAATATCCTCTTCTCTTGTCAACAGAAATTTAAAACTAACATTTGTGGCTTTATTTAAGTTTTTCTTTTTAATTTTAATAGCTTTAGAGAAGTGTACTAAAAGCCACAGGCACTGAAAAGTTTTCATTCTTTCTTCCTCTTACTAGCCTTCCCAATTTTCCTTAAAGAGTGTTAATTGCACTTAAATATTGTGCTATTAACAAAGCTGGGTACTCTGACTTCAAGATCAGTGTTTCTGAGTCTTATGTCTCTGTCAGTTTGTCACTGTATAGTCCCTTTATGCTGCTATACCAAAATATATATAATTGTAATTTATAAACAATAGAAATTTATTCCTCACAGTATAAAGACTGTGAAGCCCAAGATGAAGCCATCATTAGGTTTGGTATCTGAGGAATGCCTAGGTTCTATTTCCAAGGTGGTGTCTTGAAGGTTCTGTCCTCCTAAGAAGATATACAGGTCTTTATCTAGCAGAAGGAACAAAAGTAGCTCCCTTACACTTTTTTTTATGAAGTCATTATCCCATCCATGAGGGCTCAACCTCATGATTGAATCACCTCCCAAATGCTCACCTCTTAATAGTATCACATTGGTGATTAAGTTTCAACATACGAATGTGGGGAAGATGTTCAGACCATAATGGTCACCAAAATTTCACTTCAGGAGAAAAATTCATGAATTCCTTCCTTAGATGAATTTACTTCCTTTTCTCTTGTTTAGCATTTCCTTTCTGCCCTTGGGTCTCAGTGTAGGCTGCTCCAAACCCATGGCAGCATACATTGTTAAGCCACACAGCCACTTCCTTCTTTCCATCTCAATAACGTCATCCTTGTTTAGGGAACTTGCTGCAAATCAACACAGTACTATGAAGTAACTCCACATTATGTTGGCAGCCCTTTCAAGCTATGTCTGTAACAATTTGAAATTTTCTGAATTAGGGACCCTATCACCCATCCTTCCCTTCCTCAATGACGGCAGGACCCTGGTGGGGCTCGTTGTTTTGTTTGTTTTTTGTTTTGCACAGTGTTGAGGGTTGAACTCAGAACCTCAGGCTTGCTGGGCAAC